AAAGTATGAAAGTATAGTAGTACCATCACTCTTATATGGGTGTGAAGCTTGGGTTGTGAATGCAGCAGCAAGGAGGCAGTTGGAGGCAGTGGAAATGTCCTTTTTAAGGGGCAAGGAGCGTCGGTCGAAGCGACCACGTCCCATACTCGTACTGCATCTGCTATCAATTACTCGCTGTAGCAGTAAACAAGATGCTTGCCCCTTCTGAGGGGGCTGGGCCCCTCAGGGCTGAAAGGGGCTGATACCCCCCTCCTGGAGAAAATTTCTCCACAATGTGTGGTGTAAATATTATGCAGAAAATTCAGAGTGTGGAAATTAGGAGAAGGTGTGGAGTTAATAAAAGTATTAGTCAGAGGGCTGAAGAGGGGTTGTTGAGGTGGTTTGGTCATTTAGAGAGAATGGATCAAAGTAGAATGACATGGAGAGTGTATAAATCTGTAGGGGAAGGAAGGCGGGGTAGGGGTCATCCTCGAAAAGGTTGGAGGGAGGGGGTAAAGGAGGTGTTGTGGGTGAGGGGTTTGGACTTCCAGCAAGCGTGCGTGAGTGTGTTAGATAGGAGTGAATGGAGACGAATGGTATTTGGGACCTGATGAGCTGTTGGAGTGTGAGCAGGGTAATATTTAGTGAAGGGATTCAGGGAAACCAGTTATTTTATATAACCGGGCTTGAGTCCTGGAAATGGGAAGTACAATGCCTGCGCTCTAAAGGAGGGGTTTGGGATATTAGCAGTTTGGAGGGATATGTTGTGTATCTTTATACGTGTATGCTTCTAAACTGTTGTGTTCTGGGCACCTCTGCAAAAACAGTGATTATGTGTGAGTGAGGTGAAAGTGTTGAATGATGATGAAAGTATTTTCTTTTTGGGGATTTTTTTCTTTTTGGGTCACCCTGCCTCGGTGGGAGACGGCCGACTTGTTAAAAAAAAAAGTATTATAATAATAATAATTATTATTATTATTATTAATTTAGGGAAGTGGAGCACAGATCCAATTCCCGTGATCAAGAGCCCCTCACCAAGGAACCCCCCTTGAGGGGGAAGTTTGCATCGTATCCAGAAGCAAAAAATCGATCGAGTGACTGTTCGTATCCTGAAAAATTTGCATGGTGGAGCATTCTTAAGCCGAGGTTCCACTGTAGTCTAAAGATGATTGTGTGTGGCTTAAAAGAGGAATAGACTCTTGTAGGTAATATTAGCAGATTAAAACAATTAAGAAAATAGGTGATAGTTTGCATGATTGTGACTTCAAAGTCAGAGGGATTGTGGCGATGGGGAATAAGACAAAGATACAGATTCTTTATTTCGGCATGATACAATGTTTGTACAGAGGTGGGTGACATTTAGGTGTGCATACAGAAAGCTCCATTGTATGTAGAGCATTTTGGGCAAACTTAAGCCTGTCTTAAGACTAACAAGGCAATAATTTATTGATAGTTTATATATACGGTCTCTAAGTGGTCGTAACAATAAATTTAGGAATTAAGGCACAAAAGTGAATTGAATAGTATTAATACATACAATATATATATAATTTATCAAGTTGAATTACTTTAAGGATTACAGTTTGGCTTATGTTTACAACACAGGAATGTAGGATTTAAACAACTGGTTATGAGCAGACAGATGGTGGTAAAAAGATTGTTCAGCAAAGAAATCTTTCATTAATACAATGCTTCATACACTGGGGGCTTTATCAATTACACAGATGACACTAAAATTGGTATATAATATATTTGCAGAATGTGAAGTACTCCTGGGCCAGGTCAAGTGATGCTGCGAAGAGGCCTGGTTGTGGTGCTTTGTTATTAATGTGTTCCAAGATTATCTGTGCAATGGGCTTAGATAAAATGCACATCCCTGTGTTTTGTTCTGTGATGTTGATGTGATGGATGGTGGCAGACTTTAGACAGTGTGGTGGATGGTGGCAGACTTAAGACAGCTACATTTAGTTTTGTTTTTATTTATAAATAGAATGTTCTCATCTCCACTTCATGATGTGTGAGTGTGTGTTGTGGTGTATTACATGTGTCCTTCGCTCTGTATGTGCATTTGTGCTTTTAAAGCAAATCCCTTTGTCTCACCTACATCAAAGCAGTCACAATCACCACAGGATATACTGTGAGTGTGATAGAGTGTAGCATTGTTTATGTTGGCTTTCTGGAGTAGTAATTATAGCTACTGCCCTAGGTCTACTGGGAAGAACTAATAAGTAATCAGTCAGCAGCTATTTATTCTTTGGGTTTGGAGAAAATGTTGCAAGCTTTGTTTATGCAGAAGTGGTTGATGTGCAGATGAAATTTGAGGGTGGAGAAATCTTTTTCAATACTTGGAGTATACCTGGAGAGGGTTTCAGGGGTCAACATCCCTGTGGCTTGGTCTGAGACCCAGCCTTGTGGATGTTCAGTAGTTTTGAATAACTGCAGCCAGTAGTAACAGCCTGGTTGATGAGACCCTGATCCACCATGAGACCTGGTCTTAGACGGGGCCACGGGGACGTTGACCCACAAAACCCTCTCCAGGTAAACTCCAGGTAAACACACACATTCCTGAAAATTGGAATGTTACCTGAAATTGTGTTAAAAAGAACTGAAGAGCATACTGGAAAAATAAGATTACATTCTCGAGACGTCTAAAAAAGCCAAAAGAGTGTTGAAGTTTCATTATTTGTCAAAAATAATAGTTTTCCATTATTATGTTGTAGTTGTTGGTTGTTGCTCTGGAAATATATGTGGAGAGGATTGATGTGGTGCTGTACAATAGCTGTATAAACTTGTGACAGGAATATTAACTATTGCTACCATCACCCATCACCATCACCTGCTCCCATAAGCCATATTTTCTTACCAAATTGAACCCAATATGTAGGAACTTGTCACACCTTGTATCAAGCAAGCATATACTATGGATGAATGCATATGAGAGAGTAACAACCAAGAAAAATACTGTGGTATTGTAGAGTAATAATATATTGTTGGAGGTTGTGGTGGTTGGTTTGGCCAGGACTCCATAAGCTTTGCTTCCAGTGATGTGCAGAGCTCATACAGCATATTATATAATGGCCCTTTGAACTCCAATCTGAAATATTTTTCGTGGCAGTAGCACAAGATAAACCCTTCACTTTCTTGTGTAACTAGATGTATTTCGGTCAATGCACAATCCAAGAAAGGTATTCCCACACTGCAAAACCCCAGCCCCTTGTGCCTCATTACATGCCATGGGAATAGTGCATGGAAACTAATATCCCAATTTCCTTCAATAAAAAGGACAAAATAGAACTTGCACCACCTAAAATCAGCTCAAATTTTCCACTAAGAAGCACCAGTTTTGAAAGTTTAAAGCCAGTCTGAAGAGGCATTTTCTAGTTACAGTATATCAGAGATGAATAACTCAAAATTCACCAGTATTAAATTTGAAGCAGCTCAGAAGTTTTATTATCATGTTATTGGCATTGAAGTTTTGATGCCAATAGTTGAGTCACTTACAATTTATCACATGAAAACCAGTATTCCAAGTTTCCCAGCTTCTTCAATAAAAATGGCAAATTGGAACCTACACAGGCAAAACCAATTTATGTTTTTCTCTAAGTAAGTTTGACCAGTGCATAAGGTTTGAAGTCAGTCAGAAGAGACATTTCAGTACTGTACCAACCTCTACATTGAGCACCTGGAAAGAGACTAGTTCAGCATCGTTATTGGTTGCCACATTATATGGTTTCAATACATTGATGATGTCTTTGTCATAGTACATGGCTTCAGAAAAACAACTCAACTAAGTGGAACCCTCTATATAGTTCACCTTGGAAGAGGAAAAGAATGACTTCCTACCAGTTCTTGATGTTCTCTTATCAGGGATAATGGCACCTTCAGATACAAAGCTTACAGAAAGCCAACAGAAAAAGGCAATTTAATCCTCTATTTCTTCATGACCTCAGAATGAGAGAGGAATGATAATAGGTTTCCCTCTACATGACTTCAGGATCTGTAGCAATGAACATCCTACTTGCAGAACAAGAATACATACAAAGAGCTTTTTCCTTTCTTTTTTTTTTTTAAATTTCCCAAATACGGTGTCAGTTCTAGAGAAAATACTGCAGTCAACCACAGGCTAATTCTACCCACAGGACAGATTGGCTTCCATTGCAATGACTGTACAGTACATACAGCTGACATTGGAGTAGTGGTACTTATTTCAAAAACTATAAAAGAAATTACCAGGACTCCCCACTGCATGAAGAACACAGTCATAGCAGAGGTATACAGTATTCCATGTGGGGTACAGTTTCATAGGAGAAGCATTGAGGGACTTGGATACCTGACTGCAAGAACACAGCTGTACCAGTAGGTCATATGTCACACAGAATAGATGTGTGATACTCAAAAAGGCACATGCACATTTCATGAACTTTAAATAATCCCACCTGCTATAGCAGGAAAGCAGCAGAGAGAGGCAGTCATGGCTTGAATCAGTAGCCCTATACTTATCTCTAAGACCATCACATAGAATAGAGGCGAGTACTTTAAGCAAAACACATTGCCAAACTATTCTGAAATATGAAAACACAGTTAACCAAGACCTGACCTTGTGAATCAGGTCATATCAAACATTACCTGACCTCACTCTGACCTGAGAAGTCACCTCACCTACACCAGATGTAACATCTCAACTTCAACTATGCCCAGCGCTTGACTACCACTTCTCAGCACTATATATTTATTGCTAATTGTGATATTCTTTGTACTTGGTAAAGCTTCATTTAGGTAAAACATTGTACTAGTAAAGTCTCTCTTTTTACCACTTGGTTATGTCATACTTCATGTATATTTATCTAACTTGAATCTCTTGCTGTGAGTTCTTTATATTATGGTTTTCTTTTCGTACATTTCAGTCATATCCTCTTTATGTATTCTAGAAAGTATACATTCATTGTTTTTATTCTGTTTTCCCTTTAATTTAATGCTTCAGACCATTTTAAAGAATCTGATAAATCATTTTCCTCCTGCAGTTGAATTTGAACCCATCAACCTTGAGACACTCCGTTCACAGAAGAACTTCTTGAAAGCAACCAAGAAACAGCAGAAGGAACTTGAAAGCATGAGAAAAAGACACATGAAGGAGCGTCTATCAATCCAGAAAGGGCAGTGCAGTGCAATTGAAAAACTGGCAAAAGGCAAAAAGTAAATATTTTCTTTCATGTACACACATTCACAGGGTTACTTGTTCTGTATACATGTACTGGGGAACCACTTAGGATAACAACATACTGAGAGCCTCAAAAATCACCAGTTTACAACATCTGTAATACTTTCTAACTCAGCCCACCCCATTCCCTCCCTTCTGCTGTCCAGTTTCTCTTGAATGGTCATTTTCTGTGCAGTCCTGAACTATATCATTTGGTGATTCCTTTTTGTAGTGAAGAGTAGTGTTTTGTTGCAGCAAAATTTCTGGCTCAGTACACAATAAATAAAGGAATGTCTTTTTTAAGGATAAGAAAATGAGGAGAAGATTGGAGGCAATGAGTATGTCATATTTGAGGGTAATGTGTGGTGAGAATATTATGCATAAAATTCAGAGCATTGAAGCTTGAAGATGAAGTTACCAAAGGTATAATTCAAAGGGCTGAGGAGAGTTTGAGCAGTCTTTAACATAATACTATGGCTTTGAGCTCAGGGTGTGTGCCTAAAACTGTGATGGGTTCAGCTTACTCAGATAAGCTGTGAGTGATAAATTTTGGCCAAGACATGAGAGAATGGGTCTATATGGTGAGGGTGCACCATATAAAAATAATCCTGCCCCATGTAGTGCATGATAAAGATGAAGATTCATTTCTTTGTAAAGGTTACAATGTGTAATTACAGTTTTGGTTTGCTAAGTACAAAGAAAGCCACTATCATGCTGGGGCATTTCAGGCAGACTAATTCTAGTGCATAGTAACTACTTAAAACTAGACAAGATAATAGTGGTTAACTTTATTAAAATCTTATTTAATCTTAATATTAATGCGAGGGGTTCTGGATATTAGCGGTTTGGAGGGATATGTTGTGTATCTTTATACGTATATATGGAGTGAGATTAACAAGTTAAGGAAGCCTAGAGAACAAATGGATTTGTCAGTTAAAAATGGAGAGTTAGAGGTATTGGGACGATGGAGGGAATATTTTGAGGAATTGTTAAATGTTGATGAAGATAGGGAAGCTGTGATTTCGTGTATAGGGCAAGGAGGAATAACATCTTGTAGGAGTGAGGAAGAGTCAGTTGTGAGTTTGGGGGAAGTTCGTGAGGCAGTAGGTAAAATGAAAGGGGGTAAGGCAGCCGGGATTGATGGGATAAAGATAGAAATGTTAAAAGCAGGTGGGGATATAGTTTTGGAGTGGTTGGTGCAATTATTTAATAAATGTATGGAAGAGGGTAAGGTACCTAGGGATTGGCAGAGAGCATGCATAGTTCCTTTGTATAAAGGCAAAGGGGATAAAAGAGAGTGCAAAAATTATAGGGGGATAAGTCTGTTGAGTATACCTGGTAAAGTGTATGGTAGAGTTATAATTGAAAGAATTAAGAGTAAGACGGAGAATAGGATAGCAGATGAACAAGGAGGCTTAGGAAGGCAGGGGTGTGTGGACCAGGTGTTTACAGTGAAACATATAAGTGAACAGTATTTAGATAAGGCTAAAGAGGTCTTTGTGGCATTTATGGATTTGGAAAAGGCGTATGACAGGGTGGATAGGGGGGCATATGGCAGATGTTGCAAGTGTATGGTGTAGGAGGTAGGTTACTGAAAGCAGTGAAGAGTTTTTACGAGGATAGTGAGGCTCAAGTTAGAGTATGTAGGAAAGAGGGAAATTTTTTCCCAGTAAAAGTAGGCCTTAGACAAGGATGTGTGATGTCACCTTGGTTGTTTAGTATATTTATAGATGGGGTTGTAAGAGAAGTAAATGCGAGGGTCTTGGCAAGAGGTGTGGAGTTAAAAGATAAAGAATCACACACAAAGTGGGAGTTGTCACAGCTGCTCTTTGCTGATGACACTGTGCTCTTGGGAGATTCTGAAGAGAAGTTGCAGAGATTGGTGGATGAATTTGGTAGGGTGTGCAAAAGAAGAAAATTAAAGGTGAATACAGGAAAGAGTAAGGTTATGAGGATAACAAAAAGATTAGGTGAAGAAAGATTGAATATCAGATTGGAGGGAGAGAGTATGGAGGAGGTGAACGTATTCAGATATTTGGGAGTGGACGTGTCAGCGGATGGGTCTATGAAAGATGAGGTGAATCATAGAAGTGATGAGGGAAAAAGAGTGAGTGGTACACTTAGGAGTCTGTGGAGACAAAGAACTTTGTCCTTGGAGGCAAAGAGGGGAATGTATGAGAGTATAGTTTTACCAACGCTCTTATATGGGTGTGAAGCGTGGGTGATGAATGTTGCAGCGAGGAGAAGGCTGGAGGCAGTGGAGATGTCATGTCTGAGGGCAATGTGTGGTGTGAATATAATGCAGAGAATTCGTAGTTTTGGAAGTTAGGAGGAGGTGCGGGATTACCAAAACTGTTGTCCAGAGGGCTGAGGAAGGGTTGTTGAGGTGGTTCGGACATGTAGAGAGAATGGAGCGAAACAGAATGACTTCAAGAGTGTATCAGTCTGTAGTGGAAGGAAGGCGGGGTAGGGGTCGGCCTAGGAAAGGTTGGAGGGAGGGGGTAAAGGAGGTTTTGTGTGCGAGGGGCTTGGACTTCCAGCAGGCATGCGTGAGCGTGTTTGATAGGAGTGAATGGAGACAAATGGTTTTTAATACTTGACGTGCTGTTGGAGTGTGAGCAAAGTAACATTTATGAAGGGATTCAGGGAAACCGGCAGGCCGGACTTGAGTCCTGGAGATGGGAAGTACAGTGCCTGCACTCTGAAGGAGGGGTGTTAATGTTGCAGTTTAAAAACTGCAGTGTAAAGCACCCTTCTGGCAAGACAGTGATGGAGTGAATGATGGTGAAAGTTTTTCTTTTTCGGGCCACCTTGCCTTGGGGGGAATCGGCCAGTGTGATAATAAAATAATAATATGCTTCTAAACTGTTGTGTTCTGAGCACCTCTGCAAAAACAGTGATTATGTGTGAGTGAGGTAAAAGTGTTGAATGATGATGAAAGTATTTTCTTTTGGGGAATTTTCTTTGTTTTTCGTCACCCTGCCTCGGTTGGAGACGGCCGACTTGTTAAAAAAAAAAAAAAATAATGCGAAGTAGTCAAGTTGAATGTTTATAAGAATAATAATCTTGAAGTTGCACATTAGGTATTAGGTAGATGGCGAGAATATTTTGAGGAACTTTTAAATGTTGAGGAAGAAAGGGAGGCAGTAATTTCATGCACTGGCCAGGGAGGTATACCATCTTTTAGGAGTGAAGAAGAGCAGAATGTAAGTGTGGGGGAGGTACGTGAGGCATTATGTAGAATGAAAGGGGGTAAAGCAGTTAGAACTGATGGGATCATGACAGAAATGTTAAAAGCAGGGGGGATATAGTGTTGGAGTGGTTGGTACTTTTGTTTAATAAATGTATGAAAGAGGGGAAGGTACCTAGGGATTGGCAGAGAGCATGTATAGTCCCTTTATATAAAGGGAAGGGGGACAAAAGAGATTGTAAAAATTATAGAGGAATAAGTTTACTGAGTATACCAGGAAAAGTGTACGGTAGGGTTATTATTGAAAGAATTAGAGGTAAGACAGAATGTAGGATTGCGGATGAGCAAGGAGGTTTCAGAGTGGGTAGGGGATGTGTAGATCAAGTGTTTACATTGAAGCATATACGTGAACAGTATTTAGATAAAGGTAGGGAAGTTTTTATTGCATTTATGGATTTAGAAAAGGCATATGGTAAAGTGGATAGGGGAGCAATGTGGCAGATGTTGCAAGTATATGGAATAGGTAGTAAGTTACTAAATGCTGTAAAGAGTTTTTATGAGGATAGTGAGGCTCAGGTTAGGGTGTGTAGAAGAGAGGGAGACTACTTCCCGGTAAAAGTAGGTCTTAGACAGGGATGTGTAATGTCACCATCGTTGTTTAATATATTTATAGATGGGGTTGTAAAAGAAGTAAATGCTAGGGTGTTAGGGAGAGGGGTGGGATTAAATTATGGGGAATCAAATACAAAATGGGAATTGACAGTTACTTTTTGCTGATGATACTGTGCGTATGGGAGATTCTAAAGAAAAATTGCAAAGGTTAGTGGATGAGTTTGGGAGTGTGTATAAAGGTAGAAAGTTGAAAGTGAACATAGAAAAGAGTAAGGTGATGAGCATATCAAATGATTTAGATAAAGAAAAATTGGATATCAAATTGGGGAGGAGGAGTATGGAAGAAGCGAATGTTTTCAGAAACTTGGGAGTTGACGTGTCGGCAGATGGATTTATGAAGGATGAGGTTAATCATAGAATTGATGAGGGAAAAAAGGTGAGTGGTGCATTGAGGTATATGTGGAGTCAAAAAACATTATGTATGGAGGCAAAGAAGGGAATGTATGAAAGTATAGTAGTACCAACACTCGTATATGGGTGTGAAGCTTGGGTTGTGAATGCAGCAGTGAGGAGGCAGTTGGAGGCAGTGGAGATGTCCTGTCTAAGGGCAATGTGTAGTGTAAATATTATGCAGAAAATTTGGAGTGTGGAAATTAGGAGGTGTGGAGTTAATAAAAGTATTAGTCAGAGGGCTGAAGAGGGGTTGTTGAGGTGGTTTAGTCATTTAGAGAGAATGGATCAAAGTAGAATGACATGGAGAGCATTTAAATCTGCAGGAGAAGGAAGGCGGGGTAGGGGTTGTCCTTGAAAAGGTTGGAAGGAAGGGGTAAGAGAGGTTTTGTGGGCGAGGGGCTTGGACTTCCAGCAGGCATACATGAGCGTGTTCAATAGGAGTGAATGGAGACGAATGGTATTTGGGACCTGACGATCTGTTGGAGTGTGAGCAGGGTAATATTTAGTGAAGGGATTCAGGGAAACCAGTTATTTTTATATAGCCGGACTTGAGTCCTGGAAATGGGAAGTACAATGCCTGCACTCTAAAGGAGGGGTTTGGGATATAAGCAGTTTGGAGGGATATGTTGTGTATCTGTATATGTATATGCTTCTAAACTGTTGTGTTCTGAGCACCTCTGCAAAAACAGTGATTATGTGTGAGTGAGGTGAAATTGTTGAATGATGAAAGTATTTTCTTTTTGGGGATTTTCTTTCTTTTTGGGTCACCCTGCC